AGAGCCCAGCTGTGTCGCTTTTTGTCCGATATTGCCCACTGCTCCAAAGCAAAGATGGGACGGACAGCACCAATATACAAATACCACCACTGCCAGTTCTCATGAAGGAGCTGTACCTAGGATTGCACGTGCTGTACCTGCAAATATTGCCAGCTTCTCCTGAAATCTTTTTCCCCAATGGGGCTTGTTCTTGTTGGGCCATATGTAGTGTTTGAAGTCTGTGATGTTTTCAAAGCCATTGACATTGAGCTATCACGTGTGAGGTCTAATGAACATAAAATCATGTCCTGCAGTTAGGGCTCGAGGTGGCTCCTTTGTCATTCCCCGCCCCACCCCCACCCCCAAAGCCTTGTAACACATTCACGCGATGCATTTGTCCCATACAGGTCCTGATATCCGAAGGTTTAGGACGGTATGCAAGGGACCCAAAATTTGTATCGGCCACAAAACACGAAATCGCCGATGCCTGTGACCTAACCATCGACGAGATGGAGAGTGCAGCCAGCAACCTGCTCAACGGGACTGTACATCCCCGGGCCAACGGGGGTGTGGGCCCCGTGTCACACCGGCAGGACTATGAGCTCCAGGACTTCGGGCCAGGCTACAGCGATGAAGAGCCCGACCCTGGAAGGGATGAGGAGGACCTGGCAGATGAAATGATATGCATCACCACCCTGTAGCCCCCAGGGAGGGGCAGACTGGCTCTGGCCTCAGGTGGGGCGCCAGAGGGCCAGGGAAAAAGTGCCTCGTAGTTAGGAAAGTTTAGGCACTAGTGTGGAGTCCATATTCAATTAGACTTTTGTACAAGTGATGTCATGCCTCAAGGAAGCCATAAACCTGGTAGGGAACAGCCGCACACGTGTGCCCGGCTTCAGCTGTCGGAAGCAGCAGGTCCAGCCCTCTTGGGGAGGACCGGCGAGGAGGTCGGACAAGCCCAGCTCACTTGTCCAGAGTGCCCCCCCCCAGGCGCTCACCCGCGCCCACCCACCTGCTGGCATGGTGGGGAAGGTTAAAGGTGATGACGATCACCACACCTGTGTCATTACCTCAGCCATTGGTCTAGCATATCAGACATTCACTGGGCCCAGCATATCCATTTTTAAACCCTCTTCCCCCAGATACACTGCTTCCTGGTTTCTGTTTAGCTGTTCTGAAATACAGTGTGTAAATCAGGACCTACCTACCAGCCGTCATTCTGAGAGGGGAGCAGGACCTTATCCACGAGGTTTTCTGTTATGTGACCCCAGTTTACAAGAGAGAGCGTCACTCAGTTGGTTTCTGACTGTCAGGTTAAGGGCAACTGTAAACTGGAATAATCATGCACTCGCAACCAGGTAAACTTAGATACGCTAGTTTGTTTAAAAATTATAGATTTACTGTACATGACTTGTAATATACTATAATTTGTATTTGTAAAGAGATGGTCTATATTTTGTAATTATTGTACCGTATTTGAACTGCAGCAATATCTATGGGTCCTAATAATGGTAGTTCCCCACCGAAATCTAGAAATTATTAGCATTTTTACTTGGGCTGTACAGAAGTAGAAGAAATAGAGCCAATTCTCCTTTATTAGTGAAAAATCTTTTGGGGATGACATTTTAAGTTCGAAAGAACTTGACACTACAGAGATTTTTCTAAAATATTTTGAGTTACTATAAATCTACCTTAACCCAAGATACACCAGATGACGATTTACAGTCTTGGCTTTGGGCAAGAGTGCTAGGATTTGATAGTGGACCTCTGGTCCACTGTGGGTTGCAACTTTTATTCTACTGACCCTTCGACAAGTTCATTACAGTAGGTCGAGCTGGTTACTCTGACCCTGTGGCGTTCACAGTGGTGGTTTCCTCAGCTGCCCCCACAAGGCATTTTTGAAGTTCCTCTGCCCTTCCTTGCTCCCTGGGGATGGCTACTGTGCTTGTCTTAAATAAGGAGTTGGGGCGGGGGAGGGGGAACGGGGAGGGGGGAGGCAAAGTGATGATCTGTGGGATGAGAACGTCAGAGGTGTCCACAAATCGTATTGTTGCCTTTTTACAAAACATTGCTGTACTGTGTGTTCTCTCCGAGGGCTTTTATATGCAACTGAATGAGGGCTGAAGTTTTCATTAGAACGTACTCACACCCCGATTGTACTTCCTGATGAAAACCCACTTTTGGACCATTAGACCCACCCAGGCTTCCTTTTCTTTTCAAAGAATTACGCCGTTTGTCAACTTTCCTTGGCAGGGATTCCCTGCAGTCAAAAATACAGGTAGCAGTTTTTGGTTCAAAATTTTTAAATATCACCTACATGACCTGTTAATGTTTTGGGTTTTTGTTTCGTTTTGTTTTATAAATAACAACACTTTGTTATGAAGACCTTACAAACCTCTTCTTAAGACATTCTTACTCCAGATCCAGGCAAAAACACTTCCAGGTTTGTAAATGACTATTTCCTGACATAATTTTTTTTTATTAAAACGCAAAATGTTCTTCAGAACAAAACTGTGTAAGAATTTTGTGTTAGGGAGCTCTCCTTGCAAAGACCTGGAGCAGGGCAGGGAGAGCTTCAGAAGGGGCAGGCACTCTGGCGAGGGCGGTTCTCTAACCGCATAACTTTGTGTTACCCTCACGGCTCCCTCCTTAATGCAGAAGGTAACACCAGCTGCCGAGAGCAGTTTCTCCTAAAGGGCTAACCCACTGTCCCCATCGTCTCCGCTGGGCATTACTACGACTTAGCAGCAGCCCAAACTGCCCTCTCAGGATGGGGTTTTTTTTGGTGCAGGCCACAATCTTTTCCAGTCAGTACTTAAAAACTAGCATTTTTATAAGCTGTACTGCTCTTAACAGGTCTGCTTTAAGCCTGGTTCAATCTCCTATCAACCATTAAGTTGTTCTTTGTAAAAAAAAAAAAAACAAAAAAACAAAAAAAAAACAAAAAACTGAAGTTGTAGAGGATGTGTTATTTTTTCCTTTGCTTTAGAAAGTTTTAAGATTAAATGTCTCTCCTCTTTGGGCCCCCTCCCACCCCCTAAAAAATAGTACATTTGGTTTCTCACATGTTTTTCTTAATATCACAAATAGATACGTCAGCTTGGATTTAACTACCAATGAGCAGGATCCTCATTAAGCATTCTCTCTGGTTTCTATCCTGGCAGCCTGGCCAGACGGGGCTTTCTAGCTCTGTCTGGGAGTCTGCCCAAGCCTGGGAAGCTTCTTGGTACACAGGGCACACAGCATGGGCTTTACCTACCTTACTGCTGACCCCACGCTTATGAAAGGAACCAGGGCAGTTTATTTCACATTTTTTATGGTCTTTAGTGTCTTTGCCAACTGCCTGTTCTCCTACAAAGGTTTCCGCTGTTATGATGGGCGTTGGTTTGTTCTGAACACTGGTCAGCGACAGAGCTATCGTCTGGCACAGAGCTCCAGCTCCTACCAGACTCAAAAGCAGACACCAGCTGGGCTCTCATTGTTGACAAAGTTTTTATTTCTCCAAAATAATATTCTTTCCTTCCCGGGGGCTTCAGAGGGCAGGCGAGAATAGGAGAATGGGGAGCAGGCCTGGGGCCCTTGCCCCCAACATGGGAGCACCAGCGAGAGTGGCCTTGCATCCCCTGTGGGGATGGTGGCAGGAGAGAGGGAATGGGAGACGGCCTGGGTCTCAGAACAGGGCTGGTGGAGACGGCATGTGTTTCCCTCTAGGTTTTAAGGGAAAAGGATGTAGATATTAGATCTGATGTTAAGTTGGCAGAAACAGGAAACGGCCTCTGTGGGGAGGAAAAGGGTTTGGCTGGAGAGAAGCTATCTGATTTTATGGAAATGAGGATTCCTACAGTTGGCCCGGAAGCAGAGAGGCTGCACGTCTGGAAGCCAGGATCCGGCTTCCAGGACCTGCCATTCCTGGTCATGCTGCTGGCGAGCTGCTCGGTTTCCGTGCCGTCTGTCCTCCGTTCTACCAGGAAGAACCTTCTGTTGATGCAGCAGCTTGAACGCAGTCTTCTTCAAAGGGGTCCGTGCCCGGAGCCCATTCAGGTATATACACAGCTTCCTGTTACACTTTTTCAACCGTTTTTTGAAAAGTACATTCTTCTGTTTAGGTATCACGGGTGCTTTGCCAAGGGGCTTCAAGAAGATTCTCTCAGGGCTGAGTGCTGGCCTGGTCTCTGGGGGCCCCAAGGGACGCCTGACTGTGGCTCAGCCTCCCTAACCCGATAGGCACTTTTCTCCCCTCTCTGGCTTCCCCAGCCAACAGCCCTCTTTCTGAGGCCGAAGGTTCCCTCATGGCAATGGAACCTTGAGATGGCCTATTATGACACGGGCCACTATTCCACTCCGCCAGACGGCTGCACGCTCCCCTGTCCTGGCTGGAGCGAGGAGCCACCTCAAAGCACACTATTCCATCTTGTGGCTGAACCCCGACAACACAGTGTTTCGCCTTGACTTCTGTGGGGCCTGGATACAGAACACTCGCGGTCCACTCTATTTCTGCATCTGGCTACACTGTATGATCGTATGGGATGAGGCTCGGTGACCGAGAGTGGGAGAGGGGCCTAAATGTAATCCAGCCGTGCAAGATCACGTACCTCCTCTCACCTCTGCTTATCTTACAATACAGACACAGGAGGCAAAGCAGCCACTGCCCCAGAGACCGAGACCACCACAGAATAGAATGGCTGTGTCACCTGGCTTACCCGCACTAGACAAGGTCAGCACAGTCACAGGCAGGCCTGGACCCCTCCACCTACCCAACTTGTCACTCATTGGCCCTCAGAGCAGTGAGATTGGCAGCTGCCCTCCTCTGATCTTCCTTCACCCCTGCAGGCAGCTCCCAGGCCCTGAGGCTGACAGTTGTGGACCACGGCTGCGGGGGCACACGGGGACTTCCCTAGAAGAAATCAATCTCTTGGCAGATTTAGAACCTCCCTTGGGACAGAAAATGCAGCAAGATACAGGTAAGAGTAAACCAGAGCCACTTAAAATTTTTAAAGGAAGGAGAGGTGTCATGGTTTTCTTCTCTCCATCTTTCTGGAAGGTCTGTCTCACAAACACAAGTTGTGGCTGTCTGGCCTCCAGGACACCTCGATCCGCTCTGACCCCGGGGGGAGGCCTGGAACGCCCCCATTTTCTTCCCCTCCCTGTTCTGTGTCTAGCACAGCAGCTTTCCATGGAACAATCCTTTTCTCCCCTGCTGTGGGAAGTGGCCTTGGAGATCTTTAGAAAGATCCATTCAAAACACATTTATTTCCATTACCCTGTGAGAGCAGTCTGGCTAAGGCATCTCCATTCAAAAAGAAGTTACTGGATTACATTATTGGATTATAGGAAGTTTAAAGATCAAAGAACTATTTTAAATGCTTCTTGTATCTGCTCTCCGCCCCCCTCCCCCCCCCAACTCAAATCTTTGCCAACTTATTTTTTCTTTCACTCAGTTGTACTTTTACAGGATCGGGTACCTAGTTTGACTTGACAACTTTTTCCATCAGCCTCAGCTCCATCCCAGTCGGGTCCTGTGGATGTCCGCAGAATACGAATTAGCCGTCTTTGTCCGCTGCGAGTCGCTTCCCCAGGCTGATGGGAAAGGGTCCTCTTGGGCTAGCTGCTTTGGCATGGAGCAGTGGTCTGGTCTGTGGGGTCTGCTCTGGATTTCTAGGTTTCCCTGGTAACAGGAAAATCTTTTAAAATGCTAAATCATGAAACCTATGGGAGTGAAGAGACTCTCCAGAAGCTTCTTTAGATCAAGGTCCAGAAATCTTCCCATTGGGCTGTGTTTAGTAAGAACCAGAGCACTGGCAAGGTGGGCCCTCAGAGTGGCCCAACTGGGAGTGGGATCGGGAAGCACGGGGGAAGACACTGTTTATCCCAGCAGGCAGCTTGCCCTCCAAACAGGGACACCGGAGGCTTACGCACAGGCCTCAGCTACAGCGTGCAGCCTGAGGTGGGGGATGCCCCCGCCCTGAGAACCCAGTGGGGTCTAGCCACCACCTAGCCTCTGGGCACAGCACCCTGCTCTTAGAGCGGCTCGCCTTAAGAGGGAGGCCTGAGAGAGAACCACTTCCCTCAAGTCTGACCAGAACCTGGACTATTAAGACAAGGCCATGGCAGAAGTTAACCATCATCCTCCTTTGGCCTGTCCCTTGGTCCCCTCTGCTGCCCCTTCAGGAGGCAGGGGGAGGGGCCCGCAGGAAAATGCTGGGGAAAAGAAACCTGCTTTGCTGCCCTGATACTGGTCTCCCATCCTAAGAGATTAACCCATTCTCAGCCACTGAATCCTAACATTCTAGACAGTTTCAGGAAAGGGCACTGAGGGCAGGGACTCTGCTGACCCTCTTGGCTTGTCAGGAGGCTTCTCAGGCAGTGACTGCCTCAGCGCTGGGTGGCCAGACTTCCGGGCTTATAGACAGGGACGTCCTTGTCCTGGAGTGCAGGCTGCCCCTTGATGATGTCAGCTGCTTTCTCTGCGATCATGATGGTGGGGGCATTAAGGTTGCCACTGACCACACTGGGCATGATGGAGGCATCAACCACCCTGAGGTTTTCCACTCCAAGCACCCTGGTCTGTGGGTCCACCACGGCAGTGGGGTCAGAGGGCTGGCCCATCTTACAGGTGCACGAGGGGTGGTAGGCGCTGTCCGCTTTCGCCCGCACAAAGGCATCTATCTCTTTATCTGACTGCACGTGGCTTCCTGGCTGGAGCTCTTTCCCCCGGAACGGTTCTAGGGCTTTCTGAGCAAAAATTTCTCTGGTCAGCTTCACACACTGTCGGAAGTCCTTAATGTCGGCTTCTGTTGACGAGAAGAAATAGGTGAGGTGATTCCTTTTACCATGCTGGCTCTGCCAACGGATTCTGAGCACAGAGAGGCTCAGTAAGCTGCCCCAGGGGACACAGTTCAGGGACATGGAGCCACCAGATTGCCTGTCACCTACTCAGAGCCAGTTAGACTGCAACCAAGCAGCATCCCACGAAGGCAAACAGCACCCTAGGTGGACACAGCCTGCCCCGGGGGCCCTAGGTTTAACTTGGAGGTGAGACCGTACACCCTGCCTCCGCCAGTGTGGCTGTGAGCATGCTACGGGTCATTATCGAGCAAGACCTGCCCAGTGGGGAGTGCTGGGTTTTGCTGCATGCAAAGAGGCAGGCCCAGGACTGTAATCTGCTTCTGGACGAAACTCAGAGTAACGAGCAACAGTCTCTGTGAGCCCCAGTGTACACAGCCAGATCTCCTTGCACCTTCTGGCAGATTGTTCTGAAAGCAACAAACCTCTCCTGCTGTGTAAAAGGACATCCCAGGGTTACTTTAAGGGCCCCAGAGCACTACCTAGCAGCATGTGCCAAGTTTATAGCCTAGAATTGGGGTGGGGGGTGGGGGTGATGTGTCTCAGAAAATGTGGTCCAGGAGTAGGTTTCAGGGATAAATGTAAACCCCATGAAGGCATTCATTCATTGAACAAATGACTCGGCAAGCCCAGGCCCGGGGGAGACAGAGGGGTTGGAGAATTACCTGTTGACAAGTAGTTGGGTTGAATCACCGGGTGGTCCCGGGGGTTGGCACTTCTCAGTTTGAGCCAGCCCACACTCGTGCCCCGCATGGTCCCCACATGCACCTAGAAGAACCAGAGGAAGCTATGACCTCCTTCAACTTTCTGAGTCAGTAGCTTAGGCCCTGGGGTTTCCTGTGGGCTGAGACTCCACATCCAAAGGCAATTAAGAGCAGACACATTTTAGTATTTGTTTGCATCTTACCCCCTTCCCCGCTTCCACAAGTGATCACCTTGCTGAATCACTGCTGCTTCCTGGCTTTATACATGATGTCTTAAACTTCCAGGGGCTGGAAATCCCAGGGCTGTTGGCCTCATTTGTCTATTTCTGGCAGTCTAGATCCCTAGAGCATCTGCCCTCAGCTGGGCGCAGGTCTCCACTTTCCACGTACCACACACACTGCCTCATGATGACTCCAGACTCCTTCTCTCCCCTCCGACCCACTGAGCAGCTGGGGGACAGGGCACAGGCTCCTGGGCTTCACCCCACCCCCACCCCCACCCGAGGGCCCTGCTGCAGTGAGCAGAGCGCTGCTTGATGACAAGATGAAGCTGTCTGCTCACCTGGTAAGCTTCCTG